CTAAATTAATAAGAAAGATATAAAGATTCTCTAAATTAAATAATCTATATAAAAATTCGCTAAATAATATTATTAAGAAATTAAGCTTTATAAGCGCCTTAAGAGAAGTTATATTAAAATCCGCTAATATTAAACTATTCGAGAGATTAGATTTAAGTTTAATTAAAGATAATAAGAGAATCTCGCGGGCTATTAAGAAATAATTAATATATAAAATAATTAAATAGAAAAAAATCGATTTAATAAATAATAATTAGAACTTAAATCTCTCTAAGCTTAAAGTATAAACACTTCGCGTCTCGATAAGTAGAGAGAATAGATAAAAAAGGCTAAACTTTAATATATTATTTATAGCTTTACTATAGCGAATAAAAGAAGAGATAATCTATAAAGAGAATAAGTATCTATAAATTAATAAAGTTATATTAGATAAAGAGAAAAAATATAAAGAATATATAGCGTAATAAATAGAATAGAGAGGATTAGTCTCTTTATTTATTAAGCGAATTAAATAAGAATTAATAAAGAATTAAGTATCGCTATAGCGCTTAAAATTTTAACTATTTAAAAATCTATATCTTAGAGATTATAAATATTATTAATATTATAATAAAATATCGCGATAAATCTTAAATCGATAACTTTTACTAGATATTTAAAGATATTAAGTTTAATTTAAATTAAATACTCTAAAGACGTCGTTATAATCGATAATATTATTTAATTTAAATACGCTATAAATACTAATATTACTAGCGAGACTAGCTAATCTAGAATTTTTATAGATATTATTATAATTAATAATACTATCTAGCTCGAATAATCTCGAAAATCTTCTTAATATATATTTAATTAGTCGAATTAAACTTTTAATAGATATTATTATTATTAATAATATTATTTAACTTAGATAATTTAAAAAACTTATCTTACGTATAGTCTCTCGAATTTTTAAATATATACTATTAAATTAATAGCTTATAGTCGCTTTAAAATCTAATTAATCTAGATAAATACTATCTTAACTTATTAAACGCGAAGTTTACTATATTTAATTACTAAACTAGTAAAAAGAATTAGATATAGATAAAGTCTACTTAATAGACTAAATCGTGCTAAATCGTGCTTATAGTACGAACCCGGCGAAAATCATACGGAAAGGAACTTTTTAGATTTATAGATATAGTCTACTTCGAAAAAACGAATAATGTGATTAAAAGTAGTATTATAATACTGCTTGATATATATATCTTACCGCCTAGAAATGTTATAAGGATATCTATTTTTCGCAATGCGATGATACTTTAATTAATAAGTAATAAGATTCTTAAGTAATTCTTTATTGCTATTAAAAATACGCCTATTAGACTTAAATATTTATATAAATTTACTCGTAAAAAGTTTACTATACTCTCTTAAACTTCTAGTCAACTTTAAGATATTTAAAAGAATATAATTTAATATATTTATATTTTTAAAGATATCTCGAATAATTAGAAAATGGCTGACTTAAATATTCGTAAAGAAATTATATTCTAAATATTAGAAAGTAGATAGCGTAGAAATAAAAAGCGCTTAGTTTTATAAATACCCTTTTAATATCTAGCTATAATATAAATTTAGTTTAAAAGAGAATAAAATCTATAGACGTAATTAAACTAACTACTTACGCCTCTAAAAGAAGAATATTTATCTTTTTAAATATTACTATATCTCTCTTTTTTACTATATACTTTATAGCGATAGCGAGATCTATAAAAATATTTAACGTTAACTCGAATAATTTATATATATAATAGATTACTAGCGAAGACTTATTAAAGTCGTTAAAATACATCTATAAATCTAAAAAGTGAATTTCCGCACGATTTCCGCCGGGTCCGCATTATAAGCACGATTTAGTCTATTAAGCAGACTTTATCTATATCTAATTCTTTTTATTAGTTCTATTAGTTTAATAACTTTAAAAAATTTTAGTAACTTTAAAAATTTTACGTAATATACTCTAATATACTCTAAGTACTATTCTATTAATATATATATAATATTAATATGTATTATTATTAATATACGTATTATTATACGTTATATTAGAGTATTATCTACGCGACTAATTTTATTAAATCGTTTAATTCTATAATTAAATTTAAGTTAACGTTAATACTTATTATCGTAGAATCTTATTATTATAACGTCGATTATTAGAACTTTTCTTTTTTTATATATATTACTATTAAATTAATAGAACTAGCGAAAAAAATTAGAATAGTTATTAAATCAGCGGAATTTAGATAGATTCTAATTAGATTTACTAATTCGACGAATTTTATAATTTCCGCGACACACGCGCGATTAGCAATTTCAAATTTTATAGAAACTTTTTAGATTTGCAGATGTGATCTAAGTATTAAATTATTAATCTATTATATCGAGATATTAATATATAGTAGGAGGTTGTATTCTAAATCGAGTTACGTTTTTATTTTTTTTAAAAATAAGTATAATAGTTTATTAGTAATATAATCGCTTAATAGAGATCTTTTATAGACTAAAGATCTATCTTTATTTATTATTTTAAGATATTCGATATCTATAGCTTTTACGTTTATCTAAAGCTATATTCTATTATAACTCTAATAATTATTATTTATATATTAAAGCGTTATTTTCTTTTAGAGATTAAGCTTATATAAAAAGATATAATATAATATTAATAGATATAAATCTTATTTTTAAAAATATAATAGCGTCTAAGCTTTTCTCTAAAGACTTTATTAAGTCTATTAAGTATATTAGACTTCTAAAGTATTATAATATCTACTATCTTTTCTTTAAAAGAATTAAAGCTAATATTAATAAGATCGTCTGAATAAGTAATTATTATTTAAGCTATATTATAAGACTTCTTATAAGTGAAGTAGAAGAATTTCTCCCTCTACTTTAATCGTATAATTCTTTAAAAAGTTTTATTAATAAAAATCTAAATAATACTTCGTCTACGATGGCTACTAAGTCGCTTAATAATTTAAATATATTAATAAATTTAATTATAAATAAATAAGAGATATTAATAAAAAATAGAATTATAACGCTTTCGTAAGTGCTTAAGTATATTATTTAATATAATAGATAAGTAGCTTTCTAAGTATCTAAAGAATTATATAAGTTTAAAGAGTAATTATAATTACGAAAGCTTACTTAATAATAGATATAAAGCGAATTCTAGATTAGATTATACTCGCTTTTAATACTCTATACTTTCTAAATTAAAGTAATTAATTAGAAGATATATTTCCTCTTTTATAAAACATATAATTCTTTATAATTATTTCGATATTTATTTATTAAGATTAAATTTAAATTAATTATATTTTATTAAGAATATATATCTATAGCGTAGCGTAGTAGCGATAATAATTTAAGAATTTAATAATAATACTAGAAAGATTATAGTAATAATATCTCTCTCGTTCATCTATAAATCTAAAAAGTTTCTACAAAATTTGAAATTGCTAATCGCGCGTTTATCGTAGAAATTATAAAATTTATTAGATTAGTAAATCTAATTAGAATTCGTCTAAATTCTATCGATTTAGTAAATCTAATTAGAATTCGCTTAAATTTCGTCGATTTAATAACTATTCTAATCTTTTTTATTAATTCTATTAGTTTAATAGTAATATATATAAAAAAAGAAAAGTTCTAATAATCGATATTACGACGATAAGGTTCTATAACGATAAGTATTAACGTTAACTTAAATTTAACTATAGAATTAGACGATTTAATAAAATTAGTCGCGTAAATAATACTCTAATATAGCGTATAATAATACGTATATTATTAATAATATATATTAATACTATATATATATAGAATAGTACTTAGAGTATATTAGAGTGCATTACGTAAAATTTTTAAAGTTGCTAAAAATTTTTGAAGTTGCTAAATTAATAGAACTGGCGGAAAGGATTAAAATAGTTGCTGAATCGATAGAAAGAATTAGATATAGATAAAGTCTGCTAAATAGACTAAATCGTGCTTATAATGCGAACCCGGCGGAAATCGTATAGAAAGAAACTTTTCAGATTTGTAGATGTTAAAAGCGTTTATAATATATAAATATAATAAAATTAAAAGTTTAGATAAAATTAGTAGAAAATTATAATAGATTTAATTAGATCGCGCTAAGTCTAAGATATTATCTAATTAAATTAGCGGCCGCCAAATAGGACTGATTCCGCTTTGAATTATTCTTTTGAAATTCGTTGCTAAACCTGTCTATTGCGACTACCATCTGTGATCTCTGGTGAACCACAGCATTCAAAAGTCTCATCCTCATATGTTATTTCTTGGAACCTCTTCTACGTGTCGTGAGCCAAGCATTCTGATTGCCAACCGTGTATACTTCTGTCTTGGCCAGGGTAGAACACCTTTGAGCAAAGACACGTTGGCAATTGTTTACACTTGAATCATTGTGTAGCAATGTCCAGGCACTGAGTCAACAGGGAGGAACAATTGAGGATGTTAATGCCTGCACACCCTCAATGTCTGGCTGGAAATAGATGCCCCGTCCTGTTACACAGTTCGAACACCAATGGATCGGACTTGCAGAGAAAGGTTGACTTTTGGTTGGCTGGAGCGGTCGGGCATTAGGTATAAGTCCGAGCCGGCCGATCGGCCGGCACGGGTAAATATTTTTCCGTTCCTTGCACCTTCTCTTTCTGTCGACGTCTCCTTCCTATTTCCACGTTCCGCCTCTTAGGCCGGTGGCTTGCACAGTTATGCATTTTTATCATCAATTTCATCCTGTTTCCCGTGAGAGCCAATGTTATAAGACTTGCTACGCACGTGCGTTTGCAACATCAGTGTGTACCGGTTTCGTCACATGATGAAATCTCGAAAACATGTTTCCCTTCCTTCATATATAAATCGCAGGTTCCTTTTAGAAACCATGTATATTCATCACCATCTCTTGCCCTTCTCATCTTTGTCCCATCATGTACACTTTGTCTCTTGCTGTAGTGTTTGCGACGCTTTCATTGGCCTCAACGGCGCCTTTGAGAGCTGGCCTGTACAAGCATGTTGCCGTGTTCTCGGTCGATGGCCTTCACGCGAGTGACGTTGATAAATATGTAGCATTGAGACCCAACTCGAGTATCTCAGCTCTGTTGAAGACAGGATACGAGTACAGCGGTGCATACACATCCGCGCCTTCAGATTCCTTCCCGGGAACTGTAGCTCAATTTACCGGGGCCACTCCGAGAACCACAGGAGTGTGGTATGATGACATCTGGAACCGCAACATCTTTGCTCCCGGCAGCAACTGTACCGGAACTCCAGGTTATGACAGCATGTGATTCACTGTGCCGATCATGGGATGGCATGCTGATCTTCATAGCTGACTCCACCGAGGATCTTGACTACAACTCTACCCTACTTTTCAGTGGTGGTATTGATCCAACACATCTCCCCAAGATCATTGTTGATGGGAAATGTACCCTACAATACCCGCACGACCGGCTCCAGGTCAATACCGTCTTTGAGATTATCAAGGCAAGTGGCAAGCAGACGGCGTATGTTGACAAGCACCCCGCATACGATATCGTTAGAGGGCCCAGTGGAACTGGCCTGAGCACTGGCTATTTTCCAGAAATTGCGTCCATCCCGGGTGTAAGTCCAATTCCATACAATACATGGCAGGCAACTGCTGAGAGCATCTAGAATAACATTTCTGCTGTTATCGCTTACGATCAATTGCATGTAAATGCTTTCCTTGACTACTTGGATGCCAAGGTGCCAGCGAATTCAGAGGGAAATTTGACTGCCGTTCCTGCATTGTTCGCTGGCAATTTCCAAAGTAGTGAGCTAGCCCAACCCTTCTACGCGCCTACATCAAACGCTAATGAAATTCAGTCAATGTCGCCCAGAAGACATACGGGTACCAGAACACCACCGGCCTCCCTTTTTCAGCACCTATACTCCAAGTCATAGATTTCGTGGACGCCTCACTCGGAGCCATTGTCAACAAATTGAAATCAAAGGGACTCTACAACGATACTCTCATCATCGTGGCAAGCAAGCATGGTAACGCGCCCATCAATCCAGCTTTGTTCGGCGAGGTCAACCCAGCTCAGATCACCAATGCCACGGGTGTTCCTGTAGAGTGGCAAACGGTACGTATCCCCTAGACAATTACAGTGAAACCCTAATTCCTTTCCGAGATTCCGCGACTAGATGCTCAAGGACTTGGAAGCTCGACACCCAAATGATAATACTCAGTTGCTAATACAACAGTGCTAGTCTGACGACATCGCGCTCATCTTCCTGAATAGTAGTAGCACGACTGCCACCGCGGTCGCAAATCTGAACGCCGACCGTACCGCAGGCAAAATCCTCAACATCTATGCGGACGCGCCTGGCGCCACTCCTCTGGCATCTCATGGTAAGTGACTCACCCCCAAATCTCCGTTCGACCTACATCTGCCCACACATGCCTCTCGTCAGCCCGTCTCACTCACAATGGGAACTCAGGTTTCGGTACCCCCGTCAACAGCCCGTTCGTACCCGACATCATCGTACAACCCGAGGTCGGAATCATCTACACGACCTCCAAAAAGAAGGTCGAAGAGCACGGCGGTCTCAGCGCCGACGACAGGAACGTAGCTTGCTTCGTTAGCAGTCCTCGAATCACAAAAGCGCAGAAGTTCACACAGAGGGTCTTTACGACGCAGGTTGCACCGCTGATTTTGGAGGCGTTGGGAATTGATGGCGGGGAGTTGGAGGGCGTGAGGGCTGAGGGAACGAAGATCCTGCCCGGGTTTGAGTCCTGAGCGGCTTCGACAGGGTCTGTAGTAGAATCCTCGTGACAAAAAATAAATTCAGCTGCAGGATAGGAGCGGATAAGTCCTCCGGCTTCCTTATCTCCCGTTACTCCGGGCTGCGGCCCGTACCCCTTGGGTGCATTATCCGAAGGATTTGATGCTAGGCTCAACAAATTGAATCTCCACACCTCCAAAATTCTCATCCTTTCTCACATCTTTCACCTTCCTCGTCTTTCTTATCAAGCGCTCAAACGAAGATTCTGTTGGACTACCTGGCTTACCTGGACCGCTCGCTACATGTCATATGCCATCGCATGACCGTGGACGGCGCACGATTGAAGTGTGCTACAAGAAGTCGCAGCGGTTCCTCCATGGGTCTTCGAACTCCCTGCCATCTGCTTGATCAGCTCCTGCAATAGGAGTTCTCCCCTATACCATTGCTCTCTCCCTTGCCCTTGCGTGACCTGGTGTTGGCCTTGTCTTTACCGATACCGGCTGGTTTTTATGCAAAGCAATCATTGAGCGTAGCCTGTGTGGGAGCGGACAGGAAGTGTGTTGGGGTAGACCAACTTTTAGTCTCGCACGAGATAATGACTGCAGCTCAGAGCTACATGCTACGTACTACAGCCAATGGAAGCGTTAGCCATGCAATGCGACTGACGCCGGGCAATGCTGCAGTGCAAAACGGGGGGCAGTCTCATGACATCGTGCATGCTAGGTCTTGAGATAGAAGACTCCTGTGACCTCCCTAGCACCTGATGGTAGCATGCCTTGGCAAGTGTCTTCTTTTAGGCGGTCCTGGAATCCAACAATTATTCGCACACTTATAACTCGATATCGTTCTTGGCATCTAACAGTGCGCCTGCTACGTCACTAACATGGACTCTGCTCACTTACTTGCGAAAATGGGAGAACGGCGAAGATTTGAAGGCAAGGAACTGCGGAAAAGAATACTTTTTTTCAAAAAACACAAAGGAATTTGAAGCGTATGGCTACCTGTCAACCTTTAAGCTAAAAGAAGTATTACTCTAGCATTCAGCAAACCATCATCTCCTACAAGTGGCCTTTCTGACAACACATACGTACGACCCCCCTTCCCACTCGACAACCCTCTCCCATTTGCCATCACTTTCTATCATCCATGTCCCCACCTATTCCAAAGCCCCCAATCTTCCCACTCGATAACGCCGCCATCTCACGAGCATCGTGGTGCACACAAAGTCTTCCTGTGACATCATCCCACCTAACAGCCAGATGTGCTATAACAGCCTACTTTCGTATCTCGCAATCCCTCCTAGCTCTCGCACTTTCCTCTTAAAATGGGTTATCAGACGTAATGCAAATGATGCCGACAATGCCCTTCAAAAGAACGTGGATTGATTTAGTCGACAGAATTGATTGAATCGATGATATGTGTAAAAGTTCTGCGTGTCTCGGGAGTCAGAATGACTGCCGAACTTTTCTTCACCCCAACCTCAACACGCACCGCCATCACCTTCGCTCGCCTCCATTCCATCATCGACTCCGGCTCCAGCCGAGCCCCCACCGCTCATCGCTCCAGCGTCGGTGGAGTTGGAGTACGCTATACGCGGCGCTCCACCACTCCCACCCACACCTCCCCCAGTCCCTCATCTCACCGACATCTCCACCAACCAACCCTCCTCCTACGCTTCCCACACCCCAACTCCCTTCCTCTTCTCCAAAGCGCATACGTCGGGTCAGGCTGGCATTCGCATCGCGCGACACCCATCCTGGCGGGTATCGGAACCGCGGTCGTACGTCTAGGATGTACAGTGGTGGTTCGGGCGAACGTTGGCGTGGATTGCGGCGCCGTTCACCTAGAATAGTTGGCGGAGAGGGCGGAGGGCAGAGTGCTGCTGGGCGGAAGAGATGGCAAAGGCCGTTGCTTGATCGACGTATCTGATGCGGAATGGAAAGATGCTGATGTCGTAACCGTAGCGAAAGAGTCTGTCAAATGCTGGAGCTGGATACGTCAATCTTGGCCTTTACTCCCTTTGCTACCCGATCCTCATGTCCCGCTTCGAGACGAGTGATGATTTCTTCAGTAACCTCTTGTCGAATGGAATCCTCGAACTGCTTCCGCTCGAGTCTACCAGCCGTGCTCTTAAGCTTGTCTCTTGCTTCTTGATTCGCAACAGTTGCTCCCTTTTACTAATGCCGTGTCGCCCACGAGACCCATGGTGTCACTCCTTCAGAACCGGCATCGCGTATCGTCATGATTGAGATTGTTTCAATGGCTTCCCCATGATATGATTCTGGACTTTGAACCATGCTGTGTAGATTTTTTTGATGTCAGAAATCCTGCGCGTCGAGGAGTTGACGGAAGGCTGTCAAGCATCAACTTTTCAGTCAAGTAAGACTTCTCCGATGTAGCGAGATCGTTGCTGCTTCTCTGCCAGTCGCACACAGTACACGAATATGTGACATACCCGTCAGTCGTTCTACCACCACGCTTGCGCTTGCGTGCTTCGGCTTTCATTTCCTTGGTTTTCTTCTGTGCAACTTCCTTCGCGATGTCATTTGCCATCCTTTTGGGTGCCGCGCCGGCTTTGGATTTGACAGAGGGAACGGGGAAGCGACCAACGGCACCTGATGCCATAGCCATATGCACCTCAACGATGCGATCGCAGATTTCGCGAGGACTAGGATGGCCCAGGTCGATAGGTGGAGGAGTTCCGTTAACATAGGGATATGGGGGAGCTGAGAAGTTTTGCGTAGCGCAAAGCGTCATTGCTAGATGTTCTCCATCGTTCCTCGATCTTCTCGACGGGAAGCGGACTAACGCCACTGCCCAGCGATCGTGTCACACTTGGCGAACACGTCAGAGGTCGTCTCGATGATCTTGAGCCAGAATGTTGTCCATCTCGAACAGAACGGAAGTGGATGTTACCATTCCATTTTGCCCTCGAACATCTAATAAGACCAGCGCATTGCAGCAAATGGCTTCCTGGTGAAGGCACACAGAGAGAAATCCCTTCAAAATCTGTCCATTCTGTCACGTTTACCTTCAAGTATAGTTCAACAACAGAAGGCGCCACGTTCCTTCCCATCCTACGGGGACGAAGGACAGACCAAAGGTGGGGAAATAGAGAACTCCTTTGCTTGCAGTACTCAACGGCTCCGATGCAGTTCCGCATGGTCTGCTTTGATAGGTCTCTCCTTCTTCAGCTTGACAACCCGATCCTCTTCAATTTTCTCGCGCTCATCACTTTGATGTAGGTCCGAAAGAACAGACCCTGTCTTTTCCTCCTTCAAGGCAGCACTCCTTTCGTCTTCTGATAGTTCAAAGTCTGCGAACGTTGGCTTCCTCCTCCTCTTGTTCTCCGCTCCAGTTCTCCCAGCTCTTGACCTTACTGGATTCGGGTTTCTCACAGTAGAGTCGGTTCCTGGTCTCACCCTCGTGAGTCGGGTGTGGAAGATGCGAACCACCGCGCGTCTTTCTAGCATTCCAACTCTGCGATTCTCCGGTCTTTCGATCAATGCATATAGTTGCTTAGGCGGTCTAGGAAACTGGAAATGAGCCTCAACACCAGCGAGCGATTCACCTGCCAGAGGCAGCGCAGGAATTGGCGGGTGGGTAACCGTATGGAGATTACAGATTGTGGACGACGGTATTGAGCTACTCACGCTGAAGCCTAATTTTTCTTTACCATTTCCCTTACATCTGGTGGTTCCTTTGGATACTGCACATCTTTTTGCATTCGCGCTGGACATCAGAACAATCCAGCTGGATGGTATTGTCGTCTTCAGGACATACGTCGCGGTGGAGGTGGTGAATGGTCCGATCTTGAGTGAGAAGTTGGTTGTGCTTCTCTTACTGTCTGCATCAAATACCAATTTGGTGGTCTTAGGTCAGCAAAGTGATCCTTGGTGACAAGACGGAATCATCCAGTAGTACTCCTCCTTTCCAGCGATGGCTGTCAAACTTGGACTATGTTAAATTCAAGTTGCAGTCGAGAGAGACCATGTTGATATCATTTCTCGAAAAACCAGTAGACGGAGTGGAATTGCCTTCGACGGTACCGTTGAAAGCCGCGGGCGTGTTGCTTTCTGAATTGACGGATTTCGAGCAGTGACTCGATGATGTTGACGAGATGGCATAGCGGTGATCTTGTTGCCAACTATTGTAGACAATGGTTTCACCGTTGATGGCAATCTTAAAATTCAAATCCAGGAGATAGTGTCATTCCGATCGAATTCGGTGTCTTTCGTCTAGATCTCGACAGCTTCTGCGGGTCTCAATTTTTTCCATAGCTTCTGGGATGGAGTTTGCAGATATATGTTTGAGAGAAGTTCCGACACCCGAGAGGTTTCCGCCATGCTGACGCAAGACTGGGCAATCCTTGGTAGCACTGTCGGCCGCAGCATGCTTGGACTTCAACGCATGAGTGGTTGATGTCAGAAGTGAGGTCATTCTGTCCTTGGACCTGCCACTTACTCTTGATTCTCAGCATTCAAGCTAATTCATGCCAGCGACCACTCGAGGTTGTATCAACCAACGGGTTTTAGAGATGACGTTTTCGCCGGCAAGGAGAATTTTTTCCTAACTCTTGCGACGCGCCACTTAACTCTTCGCCACCTCCACCACCAAACCCCCCCAGCCATCTTCACCTGCTCCCACCGAGCATTCCCGTCATCACCAACCAAAACACGGCCACCTGACCATTTGTAAGGTTTGGGGTGCCGTAATTGACAGCCACGTACGGTGTCAGTCAACTTTCCACACCCCGGTGAGGTACCGAAGTATCGCATTATCGTCCAGCACCCGGCTTTGTGAAACGAATGATCATCTCTAATGTTGAGGCCCTCGGGAAGCTTCCACCATTTGGCAGGTTGAAGTTTTGTGGAACGATAGACAATAGTAGTTCGATCATATGTTGAACTCTTAGGGCCTCAAGTTCTAATATTGCTAGTATCGCTACGCTCGAAGAAGTAAGACATAAACTACTTTCTGAAGTGCGAGCGGAGCGCACGATAATGAACGGCAGGATCGTCTGCATAAAGTTCGAATATAGCGAAGATATCAAGCCTATCCTCCTCTCCGGTCAACTGCAAGCTGAAGTATACTTCGTTAACCTCAGGGTCAAAGTTGATAGGCGTGAATTGAGCCATAGTAAAAGAATGAGACTGCTAGCAACTAAGATAAGGACAAAGCAAGAATGAAAGATGGTAGAGCACTGCTAGCAAGGTGGTAAGGGTTGAGGTAGAAGTGGATGGAGTCGTTAGGGTTAGGGTTAGGGTCGCTTCCGACAAATCAGGTCTGCCAGTGAGCCGTTTTCTCCACAGGGGCGAATTTAGTCCTTGAGCTGTTTCGCCAACGTTTGGTCACTCTTCTCAACAATGATCAGAGCCCTACGCTCACTGCGGGACCTCTGAGCTCGTACCAACACCCTCTTACCCTCTTGTACCCCTCAGGAATACGCTCTTCGACCCTCCTCTTTAACGTCATCGTCAACCTCATCGAAGACTTCATCCTTCACAAGGCCTTCAACGGCCTGGCTATCCGAGTCCGAGCTAAACTTGTCTTCGTTCGACTTGTCAATATGTGTTTCTTCCGGCTGCGAGTCTAGATCTGACTTTCTTCGCCTTGGCCGGGTATCGGTAATACGTGAAGTGGACGGGCTCTCCTCTCAAGCAATGACATCGAGTAGTGTGGACACCATTCCTCCGTGGCCGACGGTGACAAGAGGAAGACCGTTGCTTCCTGTCTGGATAAATTGACAAGAGGGTTTTCACTGAAAGTAAGTCTTGTTGACAAACGGAAGGTTACACAATGCAGCCATCATATTCCAGCACCAATCCATTTGCATAGCGTGTTCAGATGTTTGGAACTTGTTGACGAGCGGGTCAGATCAATGAAATGCTGCCTCATTCTGAGGGAACCATGGTCTCGATGACAACATTCAAAGTCACATAGCACGTCTGCACTTTGTTCGTTCTTGACGGAGTGACTGCCAGGGTGTTAACTATCCGTTCGGTCTTTCGCCCCTCCAGTTTCTTGGTCTTGGCAAGGACGAGTCTTTCTCGATCTTTCGGCGCTCAAAGTTAGATCCAGTAAGCTCGTCATCGATCTAAGACAGCGTGAGTGAATCCTGAAGTGACTCTACCACGACGGAAGAAGGTGGATAACAGCTGCGATCTCGGTCTCGAATAAAAGGGCGCATCTATGCACAAGAGTCTCATTTGGCAGAGGAGTACGAGTGATGTAGCATGGATGTGGTGACTCCCCGAATTGGGTCACGATCGAGTGTTCAGGTGATTCGAACGAGAGTGAAAAGGGGCAGAGAGATACATAGTGTTGTTTCAGAACGGTGGAAGAGGCAATGTTGTCTTTTCCGACAGCTTCAAGGACAATATAATATCAATGATGTAACGGTATGAGAATAATGACAAACGGATATGACTCACACCCTGCAATCTTCCTTGAGCACCTCCAAGAGACCTCCACGAGGCCCACGGTGATGTAGAATTGTTTGACAGAAAATTATAAAGGGAAGGATTGTGGATGCTGAGGGAAGATTGTGAGTAAGGTCTTGCTTATTGCGGTGAGAAGTCGTATTTGAGAGAAGGTTCCAAAAGGAAGCCTTCTGGGGCAGGTGAATCCTCTTAGAGATTGAACTTGAGGTAGGCTCCAAGAAGAGGCCTTCTGAGCAAGATGAATGTGCCTCGACATCATCTCAAGCTTCTCATCCCTCATTTTCCCAAGCTTGTCAATGTATCTGAAGATCTCATAAATGATCTCTGAGTCGTTTCCAAGATCAGTCATCTCTCTAGTCTGCTTCGAGTACGCAACTTCCAACGTTATCCAGAATTTCCCTCGACTCTTGGCGGAGTGTAGAAGTATGGAACGTTGAGACCTCCAGTTCCCTGTGCCACAATGCTCCCACTGCCCTCGCTGTTGTAGATCACGTCATTTGCATCGGCAATTTGCTTAGCGAATCAACCCTTTAGCACTTTCCTTCAGTAGATAGAACAACATGATAACAATGACTACCCACCTGATGTTATGATAGTGAAAAGTAGTTATCTTCAGTTGGGGGCTCAGGCAGAATAAGGACTTCGCGTGGGTAGCAAACGGTGACTCAAGTCCATTTTGCTGAGCTTCCATGAAGGCTCTGGATCTATGTTAACCTTTCCCAGATAGCTCGACGAACTCACTGCTGTAATAGTTCAGTCCTCTGTATTGGCTTAGACGGATCCACTCCCATCATAACCAGGGATTGATTGCGCGGCCAGCGACGGTATCCGTTGCGGGTGCTCCACTGCTTCTTTTAAAGCTTGTGCTATTGAAGAAATAGCTTCTTGAGCAATATCATCGTCGACCTGAGCCTCAGAGTGAGCGTGCGCGACGAACTCTTGGTGGCGTGTGGTTGCTAAGTCTAGCTTCTTCTGATTTCTATCTACTTTGCCTTTGCCCTTCATATCTTGCTTCTTCGGAGACATCCTTTGCAGGAGTTCTGTTGAACAGGTCGTTTTGGATGTCCCTGTATGTTGCACAGGCACCGATATGAAGATGTAGCCGCCTTTGCCCGATTGCTTTCGTCTAGACCATTTCGCCCATGTAAAATTGAATGGCAATCTAGTCACCTCAGAACGGGGTAGAAATATCCGGAGCTCTCATTGCTTCGGACGTTTGTGATTGGCTGCAGTGAGTCTCTCTTCGTTGGCGTCAGAAGCTTTGATGACGTTCAAGTCGTGAAGGGCGACTCGGTCTAGAGATGACTTACTAGAGCGCTGATACGAGCACAATGTGGCCGCAATTCCCACTGGAGCAAGCGAGTTTCAAGCTCTGAAGTAGTAGCCGCCTTGATCCTCGCGAGATGTGATATTGTCGATCATGTCCAGGTATCCGCGTGGCTGCAGAAACAGATCTCGCGCCTGTGTTAGTTGCTCGAGGGTCACGGGAGCCACTGCAGCTTCCTATTGTTCTTCTTCTGTCTCCCACAAGCGTGAACATAAGACGACCAAAGTAGTTGGCGGACGAAAAGAAATTGTTCAAGATAGTTTGAGATAATGTCTGAGAGCATAAGAGCTGTGAGGACGGTAGCCATTGACCTGCTTCCCAGATTTCAGACGACCAGCATGTCTGCGGAAGCAATGAACCTGAACACAACTGTTAAAAAAACTGGAATGCCGTTATGATGGCATCTTCTTTGCTGTTTGCACTCGAAGTGTAACCATTGATTGGGATCAAGCTCTTTCTTTTGCTTTGAACTCGAATTGAGTATATCTATATTTTGTCCGCCCGGTAGCTAAGCTAGAGAGGAAAGAAAAACGTGATATAATAATTGTAGAGATCGTTGTTTGAATGTCTGGGAACAAAATTCCGAGAACAAGCTGAAGAGGAAAGTCCAGTCAGAAAGAGGAGACAACGGAACGATGAAGGGTACTTTATCTATGTCTGAGAGTGAAGCTGCAATAATCAAAATTTAGGATCCCCTTGGAGGAAAGCAGGGTACAGTGTGATCCCGACACTCCATCATACTTTATGGTAGCTCCGAAATACTTCAATTGGTGCGGGCTTGGAAGAGAGGAGAATGCAGGAAGAGATGGTCTCATCAACACTTAGGAAGATCTAGAGTCAGTGGCAGTAAGCGGGATTGAAAGTAGTACTTACGCTTTCTTCTCAGTTGAAGCACCAGCACCAGTACCAGCCTCAGTACCCTTTCTCTTCTCTTCTCCCTTGGCTACCTTGCGGCATTTGATGTAATTTGCGCAAAGTATGAGTCACGACTCAGATGTGCAAATCTTCAACGACAACAGATATCAGACTAAAAGCCATCAGAGTCAGATCCGTCATCGGTCTTTCTTTGTACGTGTTGATATCGTAAGTCGTGTCAAAATGTTACGAGCAGGTGGATGTACTCATCGCTTGTCCTATCACCATCAGGCAGCTGAGCGAACGAACACCTTAATGACTGTCGAACGTGAGCTGAATACTTCTGGGCCATAATGACGTGAGCATCGGTAACGTTTCTCATATCCAGGATCGACCACTGCATTCGTTAGCATCCCTGTGTTGAGCATGATGACTTGCACGCGCCAGGAAGATCGTCGCCATTGTGGCGGCTCAATTACAGCTTCGTTAGCCTGAGCAGCGCATAGTTTTAAATCCTCAGCTTACGAAAGGCTGCGCCTTTCTGTGCTTGTGGGTGAAGCTGCAATGATTGAAAACTGGCACTGGCAACGAAAGAGAGATTTGGTGACCAAGAGAGCTTTTGAAATTGAGAACATTGTCAAGAGGGGTGAAGACGTGTGGAGAGGGGAAGAGTGTCAGCATGAAGACCGAGGATGAAGAATCGAGGAGCTAGTCTCTGTGCATGTAATTGTGAAAAGTTAGTGTTGTAGTGACTGCCAGCATGAGAATTCCTATAGTCAGGTCATCGGTGATATATTCACAAATCTCAGTTGGCAACACTACCTTTCATGCTGAGGTTTTAATTCCGTGATCGCCGCGTGTTCATCGATTGATGGGAGTTGAAGCAACGAGAAAGGCCACAATCTTTGGATGCGCTCCAACCCGTAACCTAGCGCCTGAACTATGCTAATCGAGACCCTTTCGTGATGAGAACATTCGGTATCTTCTCGGGTTGCCTATGGTCCAACCGCCGTCCCCACTATCCGGGGACTGGATGACATCGGAGGTTGTAGTCTGATAAACAAGACGTTTTCGAACACAGAAACTCATCCGCAATGAGATCTTCGACCATTCTCAGGACAATAGGGTGAGCGGTTTTATTCGTCGAACGCGTTCTCGTGGCAGCGCGAGGCAGGTACCTGCAGAAAATTGTAGAATTAACGAACAGAAAACTCAGAAATATTGCTTAGACGAGCTCAATCCAGCTTGATGACAAAAGGCATCTGTTAGATTATTCTAAAAGAGTGTCCACTCATCCATTGAGAAGCCTCCAGAAATGACAAAGGTAGGGAAACTGATATGTTCGCGGTACCGGAATGATCTCTGGGTGGAGCCCACAGCATGAAGCAGTCTAACGAATTGCTAAGAAGAACCTTGCACGAGCAGGTGATGCGCAGACTAACGATAGTCACCAGGAACTCAGTCTTGAGCAATTTCAGTTCAGGTGGTCTGTAGCAGTAGGAATAGCGTATAGGTGGCGTTGAATTGGGGGCCGATTATCAGGGATCCGGTAGGAAGAGAAGTAGGTATGTTCTTAAAGCAGTGAAAACAGTCGCAAGGCATGAAGAAAACGTATTCACGAAGAAAGGCAATCCTTTGATTGGTGTAAGCTGGTTGGTTATTGAAAAGCTATGGAAGAAAAAGCTGAAGAAAGCTATATCTCGCCAAGTCACGCTAAGAACGTAACGCCGATGGTGGGCGCAATGGAGGAATGCGGCGGTAAGCTCGGTCGGCGACCAAGGTGGATGATCATCTGGTGGGAACTACGAATGTTGCCGTCAATTGCGATCGAAAGATACCTTACCGAATATCGACTCGAATCACAGCTTGACATGACTTCTCCACAGGATGATGTACTTTCTCTTGTTTGGATCTTGGGTCTTCGGCTCGAGCCTGAGGATGGTCGTGAGCTTCGATGCGAAATGAAACGGAAGGCGGTTCAGAATGATAGACTTCTGCAACAATGCGTCGCATCTTTGACGCAAGGAAGCGTGGCCCAATGGTACAGGAAACGAACGAATACCCTAAGCCGAGGAGCCAGACGAGTAGCGTTGGGTCAAGGTTTTCTAGACTGGCCATATTAGCCGTCCTGGTACCTTTTCAAGTATCAATGCGGCAACCAAGGAAATCGATGTGTACCAAGATCAAAAGCAAAGACGAGATTGAGTCTTTCGAGGCTGCGGTCTTTGACTTTCATTGCAATCGCCACGGTGAGGGCATCTCATAAAAATAGAATTAGATTAGTTAACGCTAATAGTTAAATATAAGAGATTTATTAAGAATCTAGATCAAGAGGAAGACAAGAAAAGGCGAGCGGCACACTCGCTTTCTTGGTGCAGGGTACGATGAGGCGGAAGGGACAGGCTTGAGGAACGGGTTTCGCTCGGACGCGTGAAGCAATGAAGCAGGGTATCGAATGGAATACTTAATGAGTGTTTGAGAGCAACGAAAGCAAAGAAAGATCGTTGTGGATGTGTGGGTGGAAGGAAAGAAGAATGGTAAGCATTGAAAGAAAGAAAGAGGAAGAAGGGAGGTGAAGGATAATGTGAGAAATGGCGCTAATGCAGGTCTCCGCGCGAGCCACCTAATCTTCGTATCCATTCGCTGCTGAGACAGCGAACCCCTTCACTTTAATTGGAAATCCATTCGCTGCTTGTGTGGCCCTCCTTGGAGTCAATTTCCTACATTGTTAGTAGAGTCCAATTTCGACTGTGTTACAAACTACTTACTTCATGAGATACCACAGCCCAAATCTCCTCTTGCTGAGTTCCATCAAGCAATGTGGCTGTCGAGCAATGTGGCTGTCACCGAGCCAACCTGGTTGCAAAATCCCTAAACCCTTCCAGTTCTTGCAGTCGGTACTGATGTGCAAACAGTTTCATGAGCGTGGCGTTGTCAATGACGCTCACAATATGCAATATATGTATGTATCAGAACCCAAGTAGTGCCTTAGCATTTCTAAACGTTCTGTCGTGGGCGGAAACACCTTAGCTGGGTTAGCCAAAGAGGTTCACTGTCTATACATCATGCGGACGCACCTGATCAGTCCAGATGAGCTTCATGACTGGCTCAGGTTTCATTTCCTCCATACCCCATACCCGGTGGGCAGATCTCTAAACCACACCAGTAGAGCCCATGACAGGTAAGGGGTGGTAGGTGTGTACAAGAAAGACGGTAGGGCTGACCCCATTTCAAAAGAGAAGCGCCCTTATGCACGCTGAAGAAGCGAGTCCAGGAAATTCTAGCTTGAGAGAGGCACAAACCTCTTCTTCTTCGGCAGAGTCATTGATCTCATCTTCGGTCCCTTGCTCTAGGGGCTAATCACATAGTATTTGGGGAGGTAAGAAATCTTGGAGAGTGACTTGATTCCACAGTCTCCATGACGATAGAGGAAATGTTTCCGAATATAGACTCGAACCAAAGCCCCACATAAGATACCCGTAGGACAGTGCACTGTTTCTTTGTTGGATCTCTGGTCTCAAAAACTTCATGTCCAAGCGTTCAACCAATTAGATGAATGGTGGTAAAGATGGGAGCAAAGTCAATGCCATCTTCCATGAGGTACAACTCGGGTTCTCCGCATTTCGGTTAAAATCCTAAGAAAGTAAAGATAAATTCAAAAAATAAGAAGAAAACCCCCCTATTCAAAAGTCAATATAGTCGTGGTATCACCCCACAAAGGACCCCGCCTCACAGGATTCCTCCCCGATCCCTCTTCACTCCTCTCACTGCCCGTGTATCTTCTTTGCCCGCGCTTGAACGCCTAGCACGCCCTGCAGTGTGCCCAGGTCTAGTTCGGGGGTCCGAGACCGGTGTTCCAGCGCGATCTGAGCGGCTGCTCTCCTTAATGGCAGCGGAGTAGGGGCACCAAACCCTGGAACGGCGGTAATGGTTGCGCGAGCGCTCTCTCTGTAGTGAGGTCAGTGGAGTTCTCAATCGCAAAAAGGGGTCAGCAAGGTGAAAGACTTACGCGAAGAGATGAGATCTACGGATGATGGTCAGTCGTCATGCAGTCGTTAAAGAAGTGTATCGGTTGAAAAGCCACTTCTATCTCCGCACATCATTGTTGACAGTCGAGCAGTTGTGAACACTTGCTGAATTTTCTTTAGTGTTCTCATGCAATGCTGCATGTGTCTCGCAAAAGGTCCTACTGGTGTGTAGGAATTGTTCGGTCCTGCCGCGTTCCCCAAAGTACTGGCAGCCAACACCTCACACTGGCCACCCAACGCTGCACCTCATTTCGCACAGCACTCCAAAGAGTGAAAGAACGTCTCCTTTGATACCGAGGATGTCGTTGAGAATGAACTCGTACGCCCCACGCTATTGGTATATGCTCTTAGACACGCTACTTTTCTCACCAACATAGATTTAATTTCATGAGTGGGTGTTCAAGTATATATATAGAAAAGACTCGAGTTTGAAGGAGGGTAACCCACACACTGAACGTCGGTCTCAGCTTTCTGCCGGCCAAGAGTCGAAGCTTCGAGAGGAAACGAACCATATGTAGCCATTGATAACAAAGATATAGCTTGGTTTTAGTAGCTTGAAAAAAATGGACAGAATTTGAGTAGGCCACTGTTAAGGTCAAACGTTTACATAGCACCTCAGTCACCTTGTCTAGCCAGTTGAATGACCTTCTTAGCAGCCTCATCGAAGTCATCAAATGCATGTAAGGAAAGCCCGCTCTCCGCAATCTGAGAATTTTCAGTATGCTTCATCACTCGTGGCTCAGGTTTGCTTACCATTTTCTGCCCAATATCCTCGTTCGTCCCTCTCAGACGGACAACCACTGGCACTTTGATTCCAAGATCCTTGTAAGCGAGCATGATGCCATCGGCAATCATGTCGCAGAGAGTAAGTCCGCCGAAGATGTTGACAAAGATGGTCTTTACTCTTGAATCTTTCAAGATGATTCTGAAAGAGCTCTTGACGGTCTCACTCGTCGCTTTGCCGCCAGTGTCGAGGAAATTAGCGCATTTGCCTCCCAGATCAGCTATGGCGTCGACGGTGTTCATGGCGAGACCGGCACCGTTGACTGTGAGATGTGGTCAAATCTTGATTCAGCAGTGATTCAGCATGGCTTACCTAAAGTACCAATGACGCCATCACCCTTGAGTCTAGACAGTCGATGCTCAACATATTTACCGTAGCTCTGAGACGAGACAATCTTACTTGATGTAAACGATGCCGTCTTTCTCAGCCTCTACCTCTTCCGGTACCTCGTTACTAGTATCTCGCATTCCTTGGAGATCAAAGTTTCTTTTACCGCTTCTAATTGCGGCATCGTCAAAGCTAAATTCTGCTCGTGCCACAGCGAGCTCTCCTTGCTGATTACGCGATATCCTTGTAGACAAAGAGGTTGCTTCCTTGCTGAAAAATATGTCGATGAGAGAGGACAACAAGAGCGACAATGAGTCGAACGATTCTTCTTTGCAGTTGAGATCCGAAGCTATTGAGGACAACGTGGATTCATCCTCAACCTTGTCCAGGGCCATTGGGTAACTTTTCGCGTGAAGCTGAGGGCTTTCGCCTCCAATGGAGAATGAAGTAACGATACATGGGGTATAGTTTATTTTGTCCACTGCTAAGGTTAGAAAATAATCCCTACTCTCAGGATCCTCGGACTTTGAGATTGGTACCCCGAGGTCTTCGAGCATTTCAAAGCTTCGCGATTCTGGGATGTGAATGTTTCGCCGCCGGAAAAAAGCGGGATTTCCTGTAGACTGTATCGCAGGTCTTCGAAGAGTGTGCATATTTCGTTGCTGGGTTTTGTCCAATGATGATGGTGACTACCCGGGTCAGCTCCAGAATTTTAGTCTTCGATTCCGAATGTCACTTACAGAAGGTATCCAGCGAGCTTCACTACCCAGAAGTCGCTTCATTCCTTCACCAAACTTTGACGGATGGTTCGTAGTCACAACTCCAGCATCTTCAAGCACTCGCACTTTACCAGCTGCTGTCATCTCACCGGCGCCAACAAAAGCCCCAGCATGGCCCATGACTCTGCCAGAAGGAGCTTGAACCCCTGCAATGAGTGCCATGATCGGCCTTTGTTGCGTCAGTAATTCAGTGCTTAAAACGAGAGACAGACTCACTTGGGTCTCTCCGTACGCTTCCGGTACTCCTTGATCCACTCTGCCGCATCTTCTTCGGCCTTTCCTCCAATCTCTCCTACGAGAATGATGCCTTTCGTATCAACATCATGTTCAAAAACTTTCAACGCATCAACAAAGTCAGTCCCAGGAAGAGGGTCTCCACCCATCCCAATGACAAGACTCTGACCAAGGCCAGCTCGCGTAGTAGATGCAACAGTCTCGTAGCTTAGAGTGCCAGACTTGGCCACTATACCAATGCTCCCTGGTGTGAAGGTTGGTAGAGGATGAAAGCCAAGTCTGCATTTCCCAACCGCAGAAATCATGCCAGGTGAATTTGCGCCGACAAGGCGTGATTTCGATTGTGACCTCAACATCGATTGAACCTGGAATGTTTCAGCTCCAAGAAGTTTTAAAGGAGGATTAAAGTCGTACTCTAAGCATGTCGTGCAAGGGTATATGTTCAGCAACAGCAACAATAAGCGGGATCTCTGCTTCGATTGCCTCCTCAATGGCTGCAGCAGCCTGCTGAGCAGCCACATAGATGGCCGTTGCGTCCGGCCTTAACTGGTCTTTGGCCTGAGGCACAATCAGATCTTTCTTTCCTGCCGCGAGGAAAAGAAGGGGCGGAGAAGGTCTCACTCACTGCTCGTACAGACGGCAGCAGGGGAAGTTCAAGATGTTCGCCAGTTTTACCCGGTGTGACGCCACCGACAATCTTGGTCCCATACTCAATTGATTGCTTCGCATTTTGGGTAGCCTTATGGTCCGTTTTAGAAGACATTCTGGGATGAATCTGGGATGAGACTTACCTGCCTTCCAGTATACCCCTGAAAGATCACACGTGTATGTTGTCCAATTTTCAGATTTGACACAGTGTCCGTGTAAGCCAATGACGGTCTTGAGGTAGAAAGCAAATATTTCTGGGCATTTCGCAGGGGAATGTTATTACTAGTGGAAGAAGCTGTGGAAAAGACATTAGATCTCATTGACATGCGTTTCCTGGTAATCATGATGTAGGGAGTGTATGGCTCATTCAAGGCTTTGTGAAGCAGTCAGATATCATGGATCAGTGATACCATACACATACCACTAGGAAAAGTGTTTATTCTACTTTAGATATAAAGAAACGAAGCCCGGATTGTCATCGGAGTTGAGAAGGCAATGACGTCCAAAACATATTCTGCCCTATGAGAAAGATTTTACCTAACCTTTCTAGATTTAGCGTCATCTTTCTCCCCCACGCCAAGAGCTCAATTGACTTCCTCGCATTCTTGAGGCTTACGAAGATAAGACTTCAAGAGCCAAACCGCCAGAGAGCGAGGTATAATTACAAGGTCAGTATGGCTAGCGAGCTAGTTACTCCACGCCTCTCGGCAGCAATACAATCAAGGGCAATGACAGACACCAAGAGATGATCAATGTGATCATCAACGTACTACTTAGGCCCTACTTTACTTGGGGCGTCTACTTCGCCGGCAGGAATTTCAATCTTCTGATCGCATAAGCGAAGAGGAGCTCTCCAGGCACGGCCGAGGTTTGCTTTGAGAAAAGACTAATAGCTTCACAAGAATCGCGATATAATATCTAGGTCTCTCAGACCTATCAACTCCAATTGACTACGCTGTCTTTGCGTACAAGATTGTGAACTCCAAACATTTCAAATCCTTTATCATCATCTGCCACGTCCAACTCATATTCAACAGCAGCCGCAACAATGGTCGTTCTCTACCAATCCCAAACCTACCCTATCAATCCACCCAATGCCTCCCCCGTTCTCACACTTGCCGAATTCTGGGAAGTGATGCAAGTCAAATGCCGCAAGCCCGAGCTTTTCGTTGCTCCCATATCTGCCTGCGAGGTCCTCGAGGAGACGGATAAGTTCATGAAGAGGACGGTGACGTTCAGAGAAGGCATGGGCCCACCGGGTGGGAAAGTCGTCGAGGACATGGACATTCGTGCACCTTGGAAGGTACGCTTGTGAGCCGAAGCTGGCCGCCTGTACGAGCTTCGTGCTATCCACCCAAGCTGACCGCCTCCGGTTCCGGTAGGTTGATTTTCGCAATCTTGACACAGGCGCCTTCATCAACAATACCATCTCCCAGGGCAAGGATGAGACAGACCTCTACCTGACATTTTACTTTGAATGGCCGTACCCAAAGATTGAAGAAGGGAGTGAAGAAGCAAAGAAGACATCGGATCAGCTGTGGGAACAGGCGAGGAAGACGGTACAGCATACGATTGATGTTGCAAGGGAGATGAAGGGCAAGGGAGAGTTGAAACACTGAATGATAGCGGGATAAGAGGCTAGGCAAGATTGAAGTGGGAATATATCGCAGCTCAGCTGGTAGTACATATACTACGATTGCTCATGACAATGATGAACAAGCAACCGCGAGCGTGTGTTGACTCGATTTGACGATGGCGGTGTCTTTGTTTTGTTTATGTAGTCGTTTGAGCTAGCAGTGATGACTGCTATCCATGGCGTCTATGATTGAGCAGGGTATCGTCTTCATCCTTCTCAACCAGCTCCCCAGCGTGCCCTCGCCTTTCCTTCTCACTAGCCCACAAACACTGTTCCTACCCACATATAGTGCTCCGTGTCTTTCCCTCAAGCTCCACCTTCCCTCTTAGCGTATTCATCCTCAATATTCTCCTCGTACAGCTTGTTCGCCGCCTTCTCTACCTCTGACGCAGTTTGCGCAACACCAGCCTTAGTCTCCGCTGCAGCAGAGCTTCCGCTCTTTTCATTCGCATCGTCCATCGCTGAGGAGACGTTCTTGGTCACGGACTCTTTGTCAATGGAGGTGTCGCTGGTGGAGGGTTTGTCTGAGCTGGTGAGGGAAGGGAGGGAAGGCATGGTGAGCGGAGGAAAAGCGGGACGTTTGAAGAGGGTAGAACTTGGAGGCGCGGCAATTGTTTGTAGGATCGTAAGGGTGTGTTTGCCGTCTTTTGCAGTGCTGTTGTAGAGGGAGACTGCAAATGATAAGTCGAAAGGCAAGAACGCCTAGATCAGGTAGTCAAATCACCCCCGCTACCCAGCGCTTAGTTCTCTTCTACGAGATCCAACCCTCCCTATCTCCCAAAATAACGCCCGCGATGGACGACGAGTTCGGTGATGATGCCGACTTCGCTGCCATTGTAGACGCTGTCGATCGGAGAAACCATGCCCCAGGCCCCTCTACCAACTCCTCCACCACAACCCCCAAGATTCAACAACCCAAACCTCAAGCCCTGCCCTCCCGCTCCGCGCCCTCTTCCATCCTCGTCTCCACCCGTCAGAAGGGCAATCCCATTCTCAACAACATCCGTTCCCTTCCCTGGGAGTACGGTGATATACCCGCTGACTACGTCCTCGGCGCCACAACATGCGCTCTCTTCCTCAGTCTAAAATACCACCGCCTGCATCCTGAATATATCTACTCTCGTATACGAGCACTTGGGCAAAAATACAACTTGAGGGTGTTGTTGACGATGGTGGATATTCAGAATCATGAAGAGAGCTTGAAGGAGTTGAGCAAGACGAGTTTGATCAATAATCTCACGCTGATACTGTGTTGGTCGGCACAGGAGGCTGGGAGATATCTCGAACTATACAAATCTTACGAGCATGCTTCGCCGACGAGTATACGCGCCCATCAAGCTACGAGCTACTCAGAGAAACTCGTCGAATTTATCACCGTGCCGAGAAGCATCAACAAGACGGACGCTCTAAGTCTGGTGTCGGCGTTTGGAAGTGTGAGAGCTGCCGTTAACGCGAGACCAGAGGAGATTGGAGAGATCACCGGCTGGGGAGAAAAGAAGGTGCAGAGGTGGGTTGGGACTGTGAGGGAGAACTTTAGGGTGAGAAAGGCGGCGAAGAGGGGTATTGGAGTTGTGAGAGAGGAAACCTCAGCTGGGCTACCTAGGGATCAGAGCTCTGTAGGGCTGGTTAGGGAGGACAGCTTATTCGAAGATGCAGGTGACGAGCAACGCCGAGACTCAGCGCCAGTACCGATTGGAAAAACTCCAATCAAGGATGCACCCGAGTCAAGACCTGGTACAGCTGAGAAAGCGCAGCAACGACCTCCTAAGAGACCGGCGGATGAAGTCCCACTTTGGGAGCCTGGTGAAGATGAAGAGGAAGCTCTCCTATTGGCGGCCGCAGAGGAAATGGAGATGAGCCCAAGCAGAAAGGCGCACGCTAATGAGAGTGAGCCGCGATCAAAAGCATTCGCCAATGCCAAGGGAGGTCTGAGTGAAGGCATGGCAGCGGCTCTGGCGAAGCTACGAAAAGAGTGAAGATGGTACCAACTGCCAAGCGTGGATAAGCCTCAGGTTTCGCATGCACCCCAGATTGAGTACCCCAGGTTCATCGCTTGTCGGCTACAGGCCCTGACAGTGTCCATGCATTGCAGCTCTACATGATGCGTTCGATACAGCGTCGATTTGAAGAGCATACATATAGATGCCAAATTATATGTCCAATAATGTGGGAAACGCAGGTACGTCCACAAATCCTGAGCTCTCACACTCTCTTTTCTTTCATGTAGCTATCCTTGCTTACAGCCGCAGGTTGTCCATAAATATATAGCCGTCATGTATAAAACAACTGCCTTTGCGCTCATTGGTGTCAGCATCCCGATGACCTGACTAATACCGATGCTCTGATTGGTCGCCTTTGTTGCTCCCGCATTTGCACTTCCCCTTCTGAATCTCTACTTTGTGTCCCTCCCATTCAATCCTTTACGCGAACCTAAAGAGTTGTTCTAAAACCATGTCATGGCCTGCTCCCATTATCCAACAAATATTAAAATCCCTTGAAGTGTCTTGCAAATCCTTTGCTCCGTATCTCATTCAATCCCCATCATAGTGATAACGCCCGACACAAAATTTGGAAGACTTGCTACGCTTGTCCAAGAATCATGCATTGCAATCAGTGGCCACTACAGGATCATCAAAGCTCGGAGAAGGAGGATGATCGGGCGTTCAACTGTAACGGCATTAAGCCTTGTATGTTTTACCCCGACAAGATTCATGTAAAAGCATAGCCGCGACGGTGATGTCGTTCGGTCATTTCCCCAGCGACGTCTTCCCACAAATTTCAAGAAGCTATCTTGGCCTTTGACCAATTTGTTTTGTCTTTTTGACTTCTCTAACAATAACACTCAGCGACAACCTCATCATCAACAACCTACAGCACCAAGACAACAACCAACTCAACCACTACCATGGAACCTTCCACCAGCATCGAGCTAGAATCCCAAACCCTCGCTCCACAAGCACCCACCACCACCTCATCTTCACCAAACCCAACTCCCGATCCAACACAACAAATGTCGCTACTCCATCGCTTCCGCAATTTCAGACCGAGCCCCAGCAATATCAAGGACGCCGTCATCGGAGTCTCCGATGGCATTGTTGTACCATTCGCCGTCGCTGCAGGTCTCACCGATTACGGGAATGCGAAGGTGGTTGTGTCTGGTGGACTGGCGGAGCTGTTCGCGGGGGCAATCTCAATGGGTCTGGGAGGGTTATTGGGGTCGAAGAGCGATTCGTAAGCACCCGACCCATCCCTCTGCACCTATGCACCCTCTCCGATCTACGAGCTTGAAAGCCCCTCTTGCAACGCATCTGACCCCTTCCCAGCCTAGAATACGACTGCAAGCGCCGCGAGATCGAAACCATGATCCTCAACGATCCCACCGAAACCACCGCCCTCGTCAAGGGGATCTGGTCTCCCTACCACACCCCCGCCCTCACCGCAGCCCTCCACACCGAATTCTGCGCTCTCCCCCTCGCGCAGCGAACAACCTACCTGCTCGAGCACCACCACCACCTCTCGCCCCCCTCAACCTCCTCCCCCTGGATCAGCTGCATCACGCTCGCCTCCGGCTACTTCGTCGGCGGCTTCATCCCCCTCATCCCTTACCTCTGCGTGAAGCGGAAGCAGGTGTTCCTGGCGTTCTTTTGCAGCATTGCTGTCGTCGTGGTGTGTCTTTTCGCGTTCGGCTGGGTGAAGACGGGGTCGATTATCGGGTGGAAGGGACGGAGGGAGGTGCGGATGGGAGTTCTGGGCGCGGTGCAGATGGTCGGGTTGGGAGTGTTTGCGGCGGCGGCGGCGGTGGGGATCGTCAAGGGGATCAATCGGGGGGAGAAGGGGGTTTGATGCTTGAGGGGAGTTTGATAGGGGTCTTGGAAGCGGGAGCATTGACAGCGGCCTGGCTGGCTCGCTCGTATGTTTGTATGTTTACATGGTAGACGAGACGTGATACTGTCACTTGATACGGAGATATTACTGAAGTTTAAGATTTTCTTTGCGTTCGTTGCGTTCACTGCGAAGGACTATGTTTGCATATGGATGTTTATCGTCTTCAAGCATAGCGGTAGAAGTAGTTGACTATGGTCTACGCGGCATAGACATCAAAACATGTAAGCGCAGTCTATTATATCTTGGAGCAACATTTGTAGAAGCGTCTGTAGTGCCAAAGTTTAGCCGGCTTCTGCTCCTTAAGTCTTCCTTTTCTCGAACAGAATGTCGAAAGTATATAGGATGGATGGATCAACTTCTCCAGACTTTCAAGGGACCCGGTCTGGGGTGGGGGGGAATCTCAACACAAATGTCAATAACATGGCAGCAACGATACCCTATCACGCGTCAATACCCAGCCTTTTTGCAATTTCCTCTTCGCCACAGTCTCTCTTTCGCAACATCATCTCTGACGATGGGTGAGAGCGTATTCCAATTCCATCAAAAAACTTCCCAGAAATTGATAGCAACAAGCCCGGAGCAGGGCCACCAACCAGGGTTAGACTGAAAATGCTGAAAATTCTCAAGAGAATCCAGAAGGGTCTCCATTGATGCGATATCCAAACGCTTTCAGCGGCCATCCCCACTTGGAGCGCACTCGGAACGACCGAGAAGAAGCCGGAAGCGAAAAGCATTGAAGCAGTGAAGCGCTGGAAGTATTGAGAATATTGACGATGGACCGTCTCGTATTTCTACCTGTCAAGGAATCTCTTGGACCAAAGGTTCAGACGGGTAAGACGTAGCTCACCGTAGCTCTAACGTGGTGATACTTCCGATTCTGATATCCTGAGAAGTCGGGATGTGAACGGGCAGAATGTTGAACTCAGCTCGGTCGAGTATCTTGCCCAGAAGGTATAAGAATTGTAGATACGGTGGAAAGGGCTTGATGAAGACTCGGTTGTCACTCGAGACGAGATGCAGTCCTGGATCTTCTGTGATTACAATCTTTCGGCTTTTGATCTTCTGGTTGTGCAATGGGGAGATATGAGAGCCTGACGGAGTGTCCATTAGCCACAGATTGGGTGCCATTCTGTCTAAATCGAGGGTCAGAATGTCATTGTTGAGGAAGTCGAAAAGCTGTTCGGGGTCAGATATTATTCTGATAAGAGGCTGACTCAGTAGCCAGTCACCATAGTGGAGATGCCGTGGGTGTATCTCGTCAATCTGATGTGCGCTTCGGCAAAGGGCGGAGACATGTTTTGTCGCCGACAACTAAAAGCCTCTCATGTACTGGCGTGAGGGCGGTCAACCAAGTGCTACCCCAGATGTATCCTCCGCGTCTTGTCCCAAGGATCCAGCGAAGCAGGAGGCTGTCAAAGAGTTCATGGAAGATGTCCCATCGGAGAACGAACCTATTGACCGATTTATGGAGCTTGCTGATGGACCCTCAAAGGAGTAGTTCCACAAACACACGCAAAAACTCAGAAAAGAGGGTCTTCTGATACATCTCGACCAAGGTCCTTTTGCAATCAACTCATCCCTTACTGCCATCATCAACATGACGAAGCAACCTCATCGAGACCTCATCGGTGCTCTTGACGTCTGATCGTCAAGAAATCCTTGGGAGAAATATGATGGCGCATGGATTGTGTCTCTGCACATCGGGATCATGATTGAGCAAGAATGGGGGGCATTTCTCGTTCAGGACTCATTACTTGGAGCACCGGCTCACCCAAATCATTAATGGGCAACGATACTGCTGAAGGGGTTCAACATAGCAGAGCGTCACTAACTCCCTTGAAAATTAGGTTCGCTGTCCAGTCCCTGGATGTAGCTGGCAAGCGGGTAGGGTTTCCTCCCTACGACCACACGCTCAGACTATGCACTCTGAGCTTACAGATACGGAGGTCAAATCTATCACACACAACATCCGCGTATATCTCCCGCATTCTAGCGCCAAGGACATCGATGTCATTCTTTCTATATTTCAAGCCAAGATGGCCAAACAGGATGTATAACGAATGGAGCTGGCGGATGTCGAGAATGAAACGTCCGGGGACAGCGATAGAAGTGTTGTTAGAGTGGAGGACGGGCCTGTAGTGAGGATAAGAAGGATGAGGTAAGAGAGGAACTGTATCTTGCATAGTCTGTCAACAGGGCATCTTACTAGGGCTGCATGGGGAATGCGTTTGGCTCATCGTGAATCACTGTCAATGGATTTCGACTGTTCAATATGGCAACTCTCTTTCGAAGACCTGTTTTAAGTCTTTCAGATATACTCTGAGTCAAACTGACCTCCTTGCAATCTAATAGAATTTTCCGAAAATATCTTGAGGGCATTTGTTAATGCAATCACGTGATCGGTCTTGGCGTTCGGACTTTTTGATGCCGACCTCCATCTCCAAGTCGTGAGGTCTTCGCTCTGCTCAAGTCTGCTTCAACCTCTTTCATCTCCATCTCCTATTGCTGCTTACCTGGTTGCTAACATAACTCCATTGTCCATGACGTTAAAAAGTTCACCCATATGCCCTGCAATCGCCCACATGGAAGACCCTTTGAGACAAGTCGCGAATCGGTCGCCAAGAAGTAGGGCGTGTGTAGGTCCGCCTATTGCATTGGTCTAATCGGAATGCAGGTCAAGATCACCGGCATCCGAACAAGAAGGTAGCAGTCACATGAACGCATCACCACCATTTGGTGTGGAGATGAAAAGAGGAAGATGCCTGCCATGGCTTCCTTTACCATCGTCTTGCTTGCTATTCTCGCTCTTAGCCATGCTCACCATGTTCTTCTCCCTGCTGGTTCTCTCCTCTGTACTCCTCTGCAAGGCCGAATTGAACCTTGCGGAGGACTACTCCTTCCACATCTCAGTTTTCTCAGATCTCCATTACGGTGAAAATGAAAGCACTTTTGGCATCCCAGCAGACATGAATTCCGCCGTCCTCATGCGCCAAGTTCTTTCTCAAGAGCAGCCAGATTTTGTCGTCTTGAACGGCGATCTCATCACCGGGGAGAACACTTTCGCGTTCAATTCCACAGGATATGTCGATGAGATAGTGGCGCCGCTTGTTCAAGGAGACTACAGTTGGGCCAGCACGTACGGTAATCATGACTCGAAATACAACCTGAGCCGCGAAGCGCTTTATGCGGAAGAGAAGAAATATGCGAGTGCTTACACCCAGCACGGTCCAGCTGGCACGGATGGTGTGACAAACTACGTGCTACCCGTGTTTCCTCCGAACTCGACGGGAAGTAGTCAGACACCTGTCGCATTGCTGTGGTTCTTCGATTCTCGCGGCGGGTCAGAGTATCAGAGCCTTCCGGCTAATGTGGACAACATTGATAATTATGTCTCCAATGGTACCGTCTCTTGGTATCGTTCTGCCCAAGCTGACTTGCAGGTGCGTTGCTCCTCCCCAAGCCCCTCCTCCCCCATTCTTCGGAGCCTCCTATTCTCTATTCCTGCCTCGGAGACGTTCTACCTACTACCTATACTTTGAATGTAGACACCATTGCTCGCTCACTGACCCCTTACCAGAGCCAATACGGGACTCTACCATCCCTTGCATTTGTTCACATACCCACCCTCGCATTCGTCGATCTTCAAGCCCAGACCAACCCAAACGTATCTGGCCCCAACTACCCCGGCCTCAACGAGGACGTCCCACTCGCTCAACAAGGCTACTCCAACACCGGTTCCGAGGCCATTCCCTTCATGCAAGCGCTCCTTGACACGCCTGGTCTGCACTCTATCTACTCCGGACACGATCACGGAGATAGCTGGTGTGGACGTTGGCCCAACACTACTTTGCCCGGTTACGGGGTCGGTGGCGGAAGCAGTCAAGAAAGACCAATTCTATGCTTTTGCAAGCACTCGGGCTACGGCGGCTATGGCGTTTGGAACAGGGGTGTCCGACAGATTCGAATGTCGTTTGATCAGTACGGCGGTATGAGTGTCGATACGTGGGTGCGGATGCAGGCGGGGACTATCGTTACGGCTGTGAGTTTGAATGAGACATATGGAGAAGATGTTTATTCGACTGCGGACGGGCAGTAGGTTCGAAATTACGATGGTTGGCATCTACAGTCTTGTCTCTACGGTCTTGTCTTCCTTCAAGTTGAGTATTTAGGTCTACGACTTTACGAGCAATTACAAGATACCTCGAAACACCCAATCTCATTATACGCTGTCTTACTCCAGGAGAGCTAAACGAGGCCAGGTGGGGACTGTATTCGAGCCACGATTCAGCCAAACTGGAAGTACAAATAGACATTGAGCAAATAGCAAATGGATGAAAGTCAGCCGCAATTCTTGCTGAGGGTTGAGAAGATGCGTGAGTGTGTTCCTTTAGTATCTTACCTAAGGCTCGCACAACTTGCACGCGCTTGGAGTGTCAAGCTTAGATTTGGGCGAGTTTCAAGCTCGTAACACATGGAAAGGGCAGCAAGATAGCGATACTAGCCACTGACAAACGGCTCTTGAGGCTTCAATATGCATTGCATGAACACTAAGCTCTAGCGATACGAAGACTTGATGTGCGCATTATTGTTGAAGTTGGATCAAATTAAACCATTAGGTACGCTAAGTACCCGGCCACTAAATCTAAAGAGACATTCCTGTGACAGTCATGGCCACGAAGAATCAAAACCGGCCAGGATGCTCCACGTACTCCCCCTTCGTGCTATCATCAAGATGACAGCCCCCACGACGAGTTGCCGGAGCTTCCCCCAAGCTATCTCATGCTCCTTGAATCTCACACCATCAGCTCCCGTGCCTATCAAAGCGCTCATTAGTATACTTCTCTGCAAACGAAGAAGCAGCAGCTTACTCTGCGGGCCCAGAAAACTCAACCTCCATCTCAGATGGTAAAGTGGGGGCGAGATGCTACAAAGAAGTTAACACCCTTACCACAAACGGGGTGCAGAAAATCGTTTACCGGAACTCCACCCACGAAGCCCTCAGCAGGTCCTTCCGGCTTGAAATCGTCCCGGAAACCATCCCTTATGATCACCTCCAACAAATTGCACCCCAGGATACCCTCGGGCACATTCTCATACTCGGGAAAAACATGCTCATGTCTCAACTCCGTCAAGCAGCCCACCACATCACTGAGGTCCGCCCCCGGCAACCAAGTGTAGCCGATCTCCTTGAGCACGAACGCGTCGCCATGGTAGTCGTATTTCTCATTCGAAAGGTACCGATTCACCTGCAGCCCTTCCTTGGCATCCGTCATGAAGAGACAGTATCGGCCGTTCAGATTCGGCGACGATTTGTTCAGGTAACGCACTTTGACGACGTCGCGCCGCTCCCAGGCGGTGGGGACCCAGAAGACGCGGACGTTGGGGACGTGGCGGACGGGGTCGTTGTCGACGAGGTATTCGAGCATGGCGCGGTAGTAGGCACGGTCTGCGGTTGGTGGGGGCGGGGGAGGATCGGCGATGTAGGTTTGCAGGGTGAGGAGGTGAGGAGATGAACCGTCTGCTGGAAGGCGGAGGGCTCTGATGGGGCCCGGTGTGGGCATCTGGCGTTGCATGATGTGGTTTGCTGGTGGTTTTGTGCTGGTTGTGAGTCGAAGGGAGTGAACTTTTTGAGTAGAAACAAGAGCGGTCGGTGAAAGTGGTGGTGTTGTTAATGTGAGCTAAGCACGGGACTTCACTCCACCGGTGCAACGTTTGGATAACACCGGCTTTAGTGACCCTTTTGAATTTTTTTTGGCCCGGGTTTGGTTGGACTGTTTACACAAAAGGTATCCAACTGGGGAAGGAGACTGAAAGATTGAGCCCCAATATGTCGATACTGGCATAAAAGCTAGAGATAGATGATGAAAGTAAGACTGTCGTGCGGAGTGAGCAGGCATCTGCAAAAAGACATTGCAGAGTCAACACATGATAAGCCGGGCATCAAATCTTTGTCACTCCGTGATGCTCTTGAACAATTCACTGCCGAAGTTCTCCCAAACAACGGCCGAAAATGACACCTGCACCGCTCGAACGCTATTTTTATAAAGTCTTAATATGCCAGAATGAATGTTTGGTAGGCAGTCTGCATCACTACCATTTTATACAGATATCAAATACCGTAATCTTTTTTAAGGTTTCCAACTCGGAATACATTAACTCCAATGATGTATACGATATTACTTGCGAATGGTTAAACCCTAGTAAGACCAACCTTGATACTCGTGATATCAATTTTACCTTACATCGAGCTTTTACAGATTCAAACGACGTCAGCTGAAAATGAAATCATATACAAGAGCCAGGAAACATGCTTAAGACCTTCGATATCACCCTCTAGACCTACATCAAAGACTCCCGAATCTTCTGGCACAGTGGCAAATGCAGAATCTCGGGGCACATGAGGTAACAACCGTTTCGATCGGATCGACTTCCAGTCGTGAGAGATATACCATTCGACAGTATGCGATGAGCTGGCTGGAAAGTTGTGCATGTGTGATATACCTCCTCCGACCGGGCAGACGTACTGCGTCCAAACTCTTGGCCCGTGGCGCCATCTTTGCTCCTAATATGTGAGGTAGAAGTCCTCACACGGAGAAACTCAATGCTCCATTTGTTAATCCAAGTCCGACTTCCCAAATCCAATTGGTCGCCCAGACGGTCCTTGTTACACCAAAGCTCGCCCGAAAGCGCACTGTAATGCTGATAAAGACGGGAGCCAGGACGAACTTCTTCTTCTGGCCAAACAGACTGGTCTATGGTCTGAGCCTGTAGAGAAACTGATGAAACTACATCTTAATGCCCAAATATCTTTGATAGTTCGAATTTCACAGTCAGAAGTTGCTGGCTTTAGGAATTCATATTAGGTTAGATTTAGGGCTGGCCATCATAGGGCTTTCAGGGTTACGACCTGCGTAACCCTAACCGTCCGGAGTTCAGCTAAGAAGCTTTTCTATCGGCGAAGCCGATAGCAAAGCCTTTTCGCCACAGCTTGACTGGGGGCTAGTGAGGGAGAGGCACAGCACACACTTATGGCAGGATAGCCGAGATTGCTATATTGGAAGAGCCTTAAATAGGCGGTGTCCCCCTCGTTTCTTGCTCCTCATTCTTATTCCTCTCGTCGTAAGAAGAGGTTTTTTTTACACTTTTCTCTTTCCTGACATCAGACGAAAGCAATTTTTCATTTAGAAAATATTTTTCTACTTACACTATTGCTATTTAGCCACTATTAATGGTCTCTAAGCGTTCTCATAAGCCTATCGCAAAGGCTATAGCTATATATTAGACTATTATTACTAAATTATCACCTTTATAAAAATCGCCTATTAAATCCATAAGAGGGCCCTCTAATAAACCCTTACCCTCCTCTATTCTCGCTATACCTTCTATTCGCTAGCTAGATTCTTTAGTAAAACTACTCTATTAAACTCGATCTTTAATCTCTATATCGCTTAATTACATCTGTAAATCTGAAAAGTTTCTATAAAATTTGAAATTACTAATCGCGCGTTGGTCGCGGAAATTATAAAATCTATTGAATTAGTAAATCTAATTTAAATTTACTTAAATTTCGTCTAATTAGTAATTATAATTTACTTTTTATACGCTATCTATTAATTTAGTAATTACTATTTACTATTAAAATACTATCTATTAATTTAATAATTATTATATATTATTCGAATAATATTTATTAATTTAATAATTATTATATACTATTCGAATAATATTCGCTAATTTAATAATTACTATATATTATTTAGATAATTTTTCTAGAAATAATAATTATCTTATATTAATATTTTATTATTTCTATAATTCGCGATATTAATTTAACTCTATAAGTCGAATTTAATTCGACTTAGTTATATTATAAGCTCGATTTAACTCGATTTAATAATACTATCGCTAGATATTAGATTTATATATATAAATTTATATTATTATATCGAGTAATTTATCTTCTCTATTAAAGATAAGAATATTATTATTTATAATATATCTTATAAGCGTTAATTATCTAAAAAGAAAAATTATTACTAATACGCTCTCTTATTATTATAATTATATTAAAGTTAATATAATATATATAAAGGTTAATAATATATATTTATATCTTTATTATCTAATCTTAGCTCTATTAACCTCTTCTTTTAATATCTAAATCTCTTCGAGATTTATATGTATTAATACTCGTTAAAGTATTAAATATCTTTTCTATAAAATTAAAATCGACTTTTTTAAATTAAGAGTTTCGACTTTTAAATAATTATATATATAAGAATATAGCGAGTAATAGTATATATAGATCTCTCCTCATAATATCTTACGTTAAAACTTTTTTTTAATTTATTATATTTTTAAAATAATATATCTCGATTCTAATTTATTATATTTTTAAAATAATATATCTCGATTCTAATATTATCGTATAGATTATTAATAACTCTTATTATCTTATATCCTTTATAATAGCTTACGTTAAGGCTTTCTTCTAATTTATTATATTTTTAGAATAATATATCTTAATTCTAGTGTTATTGTATAGACTATTAACGATTTAAGAGAATTTTAAATAATAGCCTTCGTTATAGACGATAGCGTTCTTTAAATTATAAGAAATCGCGAATTAATTTAATAGTAATTTTCGGCGTTAAAATACTTAGTTAGATACTTTTTAAAGCGTATTAATATCTTTCTAATTAGAAAAGAGCTCGCTCTCTCTTCTCTTTCTAATTATAATATTTATATATATATTCTATAATTATAAAATCTCTCTTTACTTAGCGAATTTTAAAGATAATTTAAAAGTTATTTAAGTTAAGAAGGATATTTAAATTAAGAAAAATATTCGAGTTAAGAAAGATATTCGAGTTAAGAAAAATAATTAAAATCGATTTTATCTATTATATATTTAGTCTTATTTTTAATATTCTAAGATTTAAATTCTTAATATCTTTATTATATTATAATATAGTATATATTAATCTTCTTTATTACTCTATAACTCTTATTTAAAAAATTTAAATTATAGATATTATTATATTAATTAAAGTCGATAAAGTTATTAATATAATAAAATTTCTTATCTTTTATTAA